ATCTGTGTGTGTGTGTGTGTATGTGTGTGTGTATATATATATAGAATTTTTTTTTTTTATATTTATTTATTATATATTTTGTATTTTTATATTAAAAAACTTTTGATTTATATATGCTTATGAAATTGTTTCTAAATATGGGTTTCTTTACAAAACGAATGCACAGCATCTGCGTCCATCCTTCAGTAGTGCTCATGAAGTTACTAGATGTGATTACAACAAGCTCGCAGAATAAAAGTGATTGTTTTGAAGCTTGGTTAATATTTCCAGTCAGTTTTACAGTGTTTTGCGCCGTTTGTTTCAGAGCATCAGGCCGTCGTCTCGGACCTTAAGAAACAACAGGAGGAAGAAATCCGGCTAATTCAGGTGCGTCTGTCAGGCCCTTGGTCCCCCCCCCCCACATTAACGTCTAAATGAAAATACATCCTCTTTACTCATGGTACATTAATGAGGAAAAAAAATTAACTTAAATGATTTTAGCAAATGGCTGCAATATAACAAAGAGTGAAAAATGTATGTCCAAGAAGCATGGTAATACCATGGTACTGTATAATATTGAAGCATCGTCACACGTCCTCATGCTTTAGTCTTTAAATGCAGAAAGTGTGTCTGGAGCTGATGGATACGTGAGAAGCTCGTCTCATGATTAATTCATCTCATTTCCATAAGCGCTCCATATTCACTCATGCAGGTTATTGGGCTGATTGTGTTGTGTGTTTCGGTGCCCTGCTGCTGGACTCACGTTTAATCGGTCCCAGAGTTTGTTTGATTTCAGAAACAGAAAATAAGCGCGTGTCATGAGCTCAGGAGAAGTGTGCTTCAGTGTGCTCTAGCAGCAGAGGGCAGCATCACTGCACACTTCAGTCCCTCAGACCTTCTGTTCTATACTTTTACACGATTTCATATTATATGCATACACACAGTTATTAATTATAATAATTACACACATATAACTAAATGCTTTATTTAAATACAATTTTATATTGATTTAAATAAAAAATTTTTTTTCAAATTTTATATATATATACGTATATACACAGACACGATTATTAATTTGTATATAAATTGAAACAATTGTATACACATTTATTGTAACAAATTATTATATTACACATATAATTACCTATTAGCATTATATAATTTTGTAAATGCTTTAAGTTTATAAAATATAATTTAATTCAATAATTGTTGCAGTTAATTTTATTAATTGAAATTATTGTTACATATTTATTTTTTTCAAATTTATTTATGTATACTCACAATTGTATATACAATTAAATATATTACACTGAGTAATTGTATTAATTTACATTACATAAAATATACATTTTATTTAATTACCTATTAATATGATTATGTAAATGCTTTGTTTGTTTAAATAAAATTCAAATAATTATAAAATTAATAATAATTGTATGCACACAATTAATGACTAATAATTGCATTAGTATTTTATATAAATAATTGATCATATAAATCATATTTAAATATATCAAATTATTGCTAATATTGTGAATTTTTACACACAATTAGCCATTAATTATGAGTATACACTTATGTAAATTATTAATACCTTATTCTGTTATGCTTATTAACTATTAATTTTATCTAATTATGTAAATGTTTTATTTGTATTTGAATAGTTTAAAAAAATTAAGCATTTTATTTTTTTATTAAAAAAATGCATACATTTTAAATATTAGCCTTGCATCGTGTATAGCGATTAGAAAACGTCTGTCAGAGCCACTTCTCTCGGTGTTTCTCATTAAACATCAGTGTGTGCTGCTCTCTATTAGGTCCTGTGGAGTCTCTTGAATTCAGAGGATTGCGGGCATCTATTGTCGTGTTTGGAGTCTGAAGGCAGCTGCTCCTCATCAGTTCTGTCCACGCTTCAGCATGGTTTCTTCCCACAGGAAACATGTTTAACCGCGTGACACATACGCGTGTGACTTCACGGAATCCAGTGGAAGAGAAACCCAGGTTTATGTCTGTTTCTGTCTGCGGCGTTCGTCTGCTTTTCATCACGCCTGTCTCTGTCTCTCTGCAGGAGGAGTCGGTGATAAAGACGGTGCATCTGAAGCAGGAGCACGTCTGCGTGATCGAGCAGCTGGAGCAGACCATCGAAGACCTGCGCAGTAAGATCGCCGAGCTGGAGAAACAGCAGCCCCTGCTGGAGAGGGAGGTGCTGCTGACGCAGGACCAGGAGTGTGGAGCAGAGGTGCGCCTCCTCCCAGACGTCTGCCATGTGGACCTGCAGACGGAGAACACTGCGCTGCTGCCGCTGGAGGCCAAATCGGTGCAGACGTCTCCTATGGACGAGAGCTTTAGGTTTAAAGTGCCTCCTGTGGAGGCGCAGGGGCCCGGGAGGAGCGACTCCTCACTGCCCTCAGAAAATGAGACTGCTTCTCAAGCGTTTGTGTGCATGTGCCAGCAGCAGCCGGGTGCTTCGGTGCCTCCTCCACCACCTCCTCCTCCTCCACCCGGGATGGGTGCACCTCCTCCTCCACCTCCACTTCCAGGAATGAGCGCTCTTCCTGCACCTCCTCCTTTCCCAGGCAGTTCATTTCCTCCGCCGCCGCCTCCTCTCCCGGGAATGGGTGCACCTCCACCTCCTCTCCCGGGAATGGGTGCACCTCCTCCACCTCCACCTCCTCTCCCGGGAATGGGTGCACCTCCTCCTCCTCCACCTCCTCTCCCGGGAATGGGTGCACCTCCTCCTCTACCAGGTGTATCTGCACCTCCTCCTCCTCCAGGTCCTCCGCCGTTGGCTCCTGGTCCTCCCCTGGCCTTCGGTTTGGGTTCTCTGCCTCCTCCGCTCCCGCTGGGTCTGTACGCATTAGGAGCGGCGCAGGAGAAACCTCCTCGCAAAAGCTGGGTGGAGCCGCCGAGACCCATGAAACCGCTGTACTGGACTCGCATTCAGCTGCACACCAAAAAGTACTGCACTGCTTCACTCTTTTACAGCCATCTCTTTATTTTGCACTTATTTACACAAATTACCAAGCTGAAGGCCAAAAAATACCAAAGTTACTGTAGTTTTTAGTGGTGTTTGATGAGGCATCACTATTGCTCACTAGTGCTCGCAGTTAGTGATTTGAGTGGTAAGATTTTCACCCGCTGAACCATAAAACAAGTTAAAAAAAATACAATATAGAAACATCTACAGACCAGAAAATCACTCTTTTCATGCCAGACAGGAAGAAAGCACCTAGAACACCTTAGCAACCAGGATGCCGTGCCCTAGCAACGTCGCTAACTGCCCACAACATGGAGTCTTTCACAGTGAACACCGATTAGAGTGTAAATGATTTAATTCTGTGAGCAGAAAGAGTGTGTTGTGATACGAGAGACATTAAACACCACTGACCAATCACAATCAAGCGTTCCAGAGAGATGCGGAATCTAATCGGATGAACTAAATTAAAAGCAGTTAATGTTAGTTTGGATTCATATTCCGCTGCAGAGATCATAACGTGATTTTAATTTGTTGGTAAAGCAGGTGTTTTCCTCCGCAGGGACTCTCATTCTGTCGTATGGGAGGAGATCGAGGAGCCATCCGTGGATTTTGAGGAGTTTGTCGAACTCTTCTCCAAAACAGCAGTGAAAGAGAAGAAGAAGCCTCTTTCAGACACCATCAGCAGGTCAAAGACCAAGCAGGTGAGCTGTTGTCTGCGGCTCACTCACAGGCTTTTTTCTTTTTCACTTATGTCAAGCCAAAGTTATTTCTATAGCAATTTATGCAGTATAGATTGTTTCAGAGCTATAGAAACTCGCCACAGGCTAAAAAAAAAAAACGGAGGTAATTGTAACTTCAATGCCGCTCTGAGAAAAACTCAGGATATAAATTCATATTTGTGAGAAACTTAGAATTCTTTATCATGCAATTTTGTTCCAGAGTGAGTTTTTGTCTCACGTTTTCAATTTTTCTGCTCAAAAATTGCAACTTTATATCAATAAAAAAAGACAGAGTGGTGCGATTTAAAAAGTTATTATTATCCCGTGGCAGAAACGAGCTTCGATGCAGAGCGGCTTCATGGTAATAAACAGGAAAATAACAGTGTTAATGTTGTAAAACACATTCAGTTTCAGCTGGAAAGCTCAATTCGGCTCAGTAGCTGTCGGTGTTATTTGAGGGATTTTTTTGCATTACATGAATGAGAGTTCAGGGAAGATTGTCATTTAATTGTCATCAAAACAATGCGGAAAATCAGAATAGTCCTGAAATACTTGATTCTCATCGTTAGTGAAATCAGAGGTTTTTCAGGACATTGTTTTAATGACAATTAAAAATGTATTCCCTATATATATATATATACACACACACACAGGTGCATCTCAATAAATTAGAATGTTGTGGAAAAGTTCATTTATTTCAGTAATTCAACTCAAATTGTGAAACTCGTGTATTAAATAAATTCAGTGCACACAGACTGAAGTAGTTTAAGTCTTTGGTTCTTTTAATTGTGATGATTTTGGCTCACATTTAACAAAAACCCACCAATTCACTATCTCAACAAATTAGAATACTTCATAAGACCAATAAAAAAACATTTTTAGTGAATTGTTGGCCTTCTGGAAAGTATGTTCATGTACTGTACATGCACTCAATACTTGGTAGGGGCTTCTTTTGCTTTAATTACTGCCTCAATTCGGCGTGGCATGGAGGTGATCAGTTTGTGGCACTGCTGAGGTGGTATGGAAGCCCAGGTTTCTTTGACAGTGGCCTTCAGCTCATCTGCATCTTTTGGTCTCTTGTTTCTCATTTTCCTCTTGACAATACCCCATAGATTCTCTATGGGGTTCAGGTCTGGTGAGTTTGCTGGCCAGTCAAGCACACCAACACCACGGT